GTGACAGAACGGAGGTACTGGTTTCGGTTGATGCCGATAGTTGTTGTTGTTGTAGCGCCGTTGAGTGTGGAATGCGAATTCGGTCACTGATGCCTTCTTCTTGTGTCGTTCTTCTTGCAGGTCCATATCTTGCTGCTCAGCGTGGATCTCGGCGCAGAGTGCTGCTTCTGATATCTTTCCGTGGGCTCGGAGTATGGCGCGGGTGGAGCGCCACTGAGGACCGAGGCCGCCGATGATGACTGTGACGAAGGCGTCTTCTGAAATCGACCCTCCGCATCGAAGGAGTTTGTCGCGCAATTCGCGACAACGGCTGATATACGCCATCCCCTTTTCGCCTGGTTTCATTTCGACTGTCGTCAGTTGCGCCATTAACCGACTTTGATTTACGCTGTTTGTTGCTTGATACAGGTTCTTCAGGTGGTTGTACGTGTCGAACTTATCTGCTATAGTCTTTGTAGGCTGTAGTGGGGTAGACATATATGGGGTACAACACTTTTAGGTTTTCCTACTTGTACCCACCTGCTTTCTAGTTCATTCATTCCTCATTTCTTCACATGGTATAGAGCAGGTTCCCTAGTGGGAACGCTTCCTTGGGCCCACCACTAAATTTTTTTTTCTGCCCGGAGCACCGGTCGCTTCTGCCCGAGGCGCGTTTTGCGCGCCTTAGAGGCTCCTCTCACGGCCCCTCGTGCCGCCCCTAGCGGCCCCGTCGCCGCCTTTCCAGGCCTCTCGCGGCCCCTAGCGGCTCCGTCGCTGCCCCTACGCGGCCCCGTCGCCGCCCCTAGCGGCCCCGTCGCCGCTCCTAGCGGCTCCGTCGTCGCCCCTAGCGGCCCCGTCGCAGCCCCTACGAGGCCTCGTCGCCGCCCCTAGCGGCCCCGTCGTCGCCTCCCTACCTACGCGGCCCCGTCGCCGCCCCTAACGGCCCTGTCGCCGCCCCTACGCGGCCCCGTCGCCGCCCCTGGCGGCCCCGTCGCCGCCCCTACGCGGCCCCGTCGCCGCCCCTAGCGGCCCCGTCGCCGCCCCTAGCGGCCCCGTCGCCGCCTCACTCCCTACGCGGCCCCGTCGCTGCCCCTGCGCGGCCCTGTCGCCGCCCCTACGCGGCCCCGTCGCCGCCCCTGGCGGCCCTGTCGCCGCCCCTACGCGGCCCCGTCGCCGCCCCTAGCGGCCCCGTCACCGCCCCTAGCGGCCCTGTCGCCGCCTCCCTACCTAAGCGGCCCCGTAGCCGCCCCTAGCGGCCCTGTCACCGCCCCTACGCGGCCCCGTCGCCGCCCCTGGCGGCCCCGTCGCCGCCCCTACGCGGCCCCGTCGCCGCCCCTAGCGGCCCCGTCGCCGCCTCTTTCCCTACGCGGCCCCGTTGCCGCCCCTACGCGGCCCCCTCGCCGCCTCTATCGGCCGCTGAGCCGCCCAGCATCTGAGCAGCCGAACCACCCAGCAGCAGCCGCCCAGCAGCCGAGCCGCCGAGCCGCCGAGTCGCCCAGCAACCGAACTGCCGAGCCGCCCAGCGGCCGAGCCGCCCAGCAGCCGAGCCGCCAAGCTGCCGAGCCGCCCAACAGCCAAGCTGCCGAGCCGCCCAGCAACCGAGCTGCCGAGCCGCCCAGCAGCCGAGCCGCCCAGCACCCGAGCCGCCGAGCTGCCGAGCCGCCCTGCCGCTGAGCCGCCACTGTTCCCGCCGGCGCGCCCCGGCCCTACTTACTCGGACTGGTGAGATCCCTCCCTGCTAGGCCACTGCAGTCATGGCTACCCCCAGTGTCCTTACCTTTGATGCTGAGGGTCGTGCTGTTGACTTTGAGGTCTGGGTCGACGACCTCCAGCTGTTCTTACAGTGCGATAGGGCTGACGGACTCTCCCTGTTCGATCTCACCTCTGGTGCCTCTCCTGCCCCGCCTGCTACTGCTGACAGCACTGTTCGCTCACAGTGGGCCACACGCGATGCTGCTGCCCGTCTTGCTGTGCGTCGCCACTTACCGACCACTGAGCGTGCGCAATTTAGCCAGTACAAGAGCGCTAAGACCTTGTACGATGCTGTATTTGCACGCTACTCCTCCCCTGCCACTGCTGCGCTTAGCCGCCTCATGCTGCCGTACCTGTTCCCTGACTCAGTCACACATGGTGCAGCAGGTCCTTCAGCGCTTCGACTTCACGTACTCCTCGCCTCAGGCCACTCCTCTGTCTACTCGCCACTCGCTCTCAGCTCTGCCTTCGGATGAGTCCGTAGAGCCGAGTGGCCCGTACCCAGAGCTTGTTGGCTGCCTCATGTACCTGATGACCTGCACATGACCTGACCTTGCATACCCTCTTAGCATCTTGGCACGCTATGTTGCTCCTGGGAGACACCGACCAGAGCACATGGCTGCAGCGAAGAGGGTGTTGCGCTACTTGTGCAGTACGTCGGGCATGGGGCTAGTGCTTGGAGGGCGACGTCGAGTGGTCCTCACAGGTCACGCAGACGCTTCTTGGGCTGACGACCAGGCTACGCAGCGGTCGTCACAGGGTTACACCTTCAGCCTTGGCTCCGGCTCTGTTTCGTGGCGGTCTACCCGCTCGTCTTCTGTTCTCGGCTCCAGCTGTGAGGCTGAGATCTACCCGGGGGCCATGGCTGCAGAGGAGCTACGCTGGCTCACCTACCTGCTGACTGACCTAGGAGAGCCGCCTCGTTCTCCTCCAGTTCTGTACGTAGACAACAAGGCCGTGCTGGCCTTGTGTCGGGAGCACAAACTGGAGCACAGAACGAAGCACATTGCTCTTCGCTACTTCCTTGCTCGTGAGCTGCAGCAGCGTGGTCAGCTGCGCCTTGCTTACGTGGCCTCTGAGGCCAACACTGCTGATATCTTTACCAAGGCACTTCCGCCTGGTGATCATCAGCGCTTCTGTACGATGCTAGGTCTTGTGCCTACTTGGCCTCACTTGCTCACTTCTTGACCTTGTTTGTACTGTGATCTTTCTATACTTGCACTTGCCTGTTTACCTTTATATATGATCTTGCATGTGAACTGGCCTTTTGGCCTTGCTCTTGTGCTCGGATTGTGTGGTGACGTTGTGATCCACCCTGAGCTTGCTTTGATTTGCTTGACTGGTCTTGTGACCTCTTGTTCTCCCCCACTTTGCCTATGGGGGTGTGTCGAACTTATCTGCTATAGTCTTTGTAGGCTGTAGTGGGGTAGACATATATGGGGTACAACACTTTTAGGTTTTCCTACTTGTACCCACCTGCTTTCTAGTTCATTCATTCCTCATTTCTTCACAGTACGCGAGCTCTGCAGAGTTGCCGTATCCTCGGTAAGACCGTATATTCTGCTGCTGATTCGGAGTGATGTTTCTCAGTAGTATTGTGTACGCCATCATTGACTGATACGTGTACTGCTGCTTGTTGTACTGCGTGCCGTTTGTTGGGTATGGCAGGGACCCATCGAAGAAGCCAAGAATCTGTGCGCCTTCCATCATCAGCTCGAATTCGAATGACCAGGTAAAGAAGTCCTTTCCGTCGAATGGTCTTGATGTCTGCAGTTTTAAAACGTGCGCAAACTGCGACTGAACTTGAAGTGCATCTAGTGTCTTCTCTTGCTCAGGTGAAGGCTGCTGGCGCGGCATGAAGCTGACGGAGCCACGCTGAGGTTCGTACGGGGCGAAGGTAGGTTGTTGCTGATTTCCTCGTGCGTAAGATGAACCTGTCAAACTTATATATGCTATAGTCTGTTTAGGCTGTAGTGGGGTAGTCCTTAGAGGGTACAACACTTTTGTGTTTTCTACTTGTACCCCACTTGTTTCCTAGTTCACTCATTCCTCTCATTATTCTCACATGGTATAGAGCAGGTTCCCTAGTGGAACTGTTTTTTTAGGGCCCACCACTAAGAAATTTTTTCCTTACCTGCCTGAAGCGCGTTTCGCGTTTGTCCTAGCAGCGCCCCTTGCGCCTGCCCTTCGCGGCCCTTCGAGGCCCCTCGCGGCCTTCGCGGCCCCTTAGCGGCCCTTTGCGGCCCCCCTTCGCGGCCCTTCGCGGCCCCTTTCGCGGCCCTTCGCGGCCCCTCGCGGCCCTTCGCGGCCCCTTCACGGCCCTTCGCGGCCCCCTTCGCGGCCCTTCGCGGCCCCGTTCACGGCCCTTCGCGGCCCCTCGCGGCCCTTCGCGGCCCCTTCACGGCCCTTCGCGGCCCTTCGCGGCCCCCGTTCGCGGCCCTTTCGCGGCCCCTCCCACGGCCCTTCGCGGCCCCCTCACGGCCCTTAGTGGCCCTCTTCGACTGCCCCTTCCGGCCCTCTGCTGGCCCCTGCTGACGCGCCCCTGCTGGCGCGCCCCTGCCGGCCCCTGCAAACGATTCCCTGCCGGCCCCTGCTGGCGCGGCCCTTGCTGGCGCGCCCCTGCCGGCCCCTGCAAACGAGCCCCTGCCGGCCCCTGCTTGCGCGGCCCCTGCTGGCGCGCCTCTGCCGGCCCCTACTGGCGCGCCCCCCAACAGTCCCGGCCCGCCCCTGCACCCGTTTCTGGTAAGCCGAGCCGCGCCACCCAGCCGAGCCGCGCCGACCAGCCGAGCCGCGCTGCCCACCCCCCCCCCCCCCCCCCCCCCCCCCCCCCCCCCCCCCCCCCCTACCGAGCAGCACTGACTTGCGCTACTGCTGCTACTGCTGCTACTGCTGCTGCTGCTGCTACTCTTGCTACTGCTCCTACTGCTGCTATGGCTAGTCCGACTGTTCTCACCTTTGATGCTGAGGGACGTGCAGTTGACTTTGACGTGTGGGTTGACGACCTACAGCTCTTTCTTCAGTGTGATTCTAGGGATGGAGTATCCCTTTTCGATCACACGTCCGGTGTTTCCACTGCTCCTGCTGCCACTGCTGACAGTACTGTTCGCTCGCAGTGGACCACTCGTAACGCTGTTGCTCGTCTTGCTGTTCGTAGTCACCTGCCGCCTGCTGGGCGCGCGCACTTTGGCCAGTACAAGACTGCTTAGTCTTTGTACGACGCTGTAGTTGCACGCTACTCCTCCCCTGCCACTGCTGCCCTCAACCGCCTCATGCTACCGTACCTTTTCCCTGACCTTGCTGCCTTTGCCACTGTCGCTGACCTAGTTGCTCACCTTCGCACTAGTGACGCCCGCTACCGCGCTGCCCTTCCCACTGAGTTCTGTGCCAAGAACCCCCCCCCCATGTACATCACCCTTTACTACCTAGTCACCCGCCTCCCTGACTCCCTCTCTTCAAACAGGGACCACTTTCTCTCCCTTTGCCCCACCGAGCTGACTGTCGACCTGCTAGAGGAGCGCCTTACTGCAGCTGAGAAGAGTATCTTAGCTGTAGGTGCTTCTCGCGGCGACCGTCGCACCCCCTTCTTTGAGGGGTGTTCCCCTGTCCCCCTTCTCCCCTCTGTTGCTTCTGCTGCTGCTGTCGACCTCGTTGGCACTGAGGAGGTCGGCGCTGCGTCTGCCCCTAGTGGGAGACGCCGCACCAGCAAGGGCAAGGGGAGCAAGGGTGGTGGAGGGGGCGGCGGGGGAAGCAGTGGAGGAGGTGGAGGCGGCGGAGGAGGTGGCGGTGGAGGTGGGGGTGGTACCGGGAGTGGGGGCGTCAGTGGCGGCGGTGGAGGTCGTGGCGGAGGTGGCGGAGGAGGTGGAGGCAGCGGCAGCGGTGGTGGAGGTAGCGGCGGAGTTGGTGCTGGTCGAGGTGCAGCCGCGCAGCATGGAGGCTTTGGTGGCAGCCAGCGCCAGCAGCAGCTGCGCACCCGTGAGACCCCGTCGGTTCAGCAGCTTCGTGAGTGGTACGCTGGGCGTGGGAGGTCTGGGGGTGCAGGTCCCTGCACTTACGTTCTTCGCACCGGCACTCGTAGTGGGGAGGTGTGTGGGCTCCCACACACCACGCAGCGCTGCTTCGGTCGCTTGACTGACGCTTGGCGTACCCAGTTTCCTGACGCCGTTGAGCTTCCTCGTTGGCATGATCTGCTTCTGCAGAATGTGCCTATCTTTGATCTAGACTTTGATGCTATCCTTGCTGCCATGTATGCTCTTGCTGATAGTGCTGAGGGTGACTGTTACCTGAGTGTCCCGCCCGACCCAGGCATTGCGGCTGCTGCTCTAGGTGCTAGTGCGCCTGCTGCTCCAGGTACTCGTGCGTCTGCTGCTCCAAGTGCTGGTGCGTTTGCTCTCTCTGGTACTGCACCTACTGAGTCCTTGCACACTTTCACACTTGACTCTGGTGCTTCGCGCTCTTTCTTTAGAGACAGCACCACGCTCACGCCGCTCAGTCGGCCTGTTGCGGTCTCCCTTGCTGACCCCTCTGGGGGCCCAGTCCTTCCACACTCCTCCACGGTTCTACCGTGTCCTGCGGCCCCGTCGGGCTTGCTGTCGGGACTCCATCTCCCCTCGTTCTCTACGAACTTGGTGAGTGGAGCTGAGCTCCAGGACGCGTGGGTTGACCAGTTCACCCCTGGAGGTCAGCGTGTGACCCACTGCACTTTCTCTCGGACGGGCCGCCACCTGGCCACGTTCACCCGTCGGCCAGGGTCGAGTCTGTACACACTGACTATTGCGCCTCCTCCGGTCCCTGCGTCTGGTCAGGTAGCTGAGTCCAGTCAGGTGTTTGCTGCTGCGTCCAGGTCTAGTCCTGCGTCTGCCCCCTGCTCGTGTCGTCCTCTGGCGCACGAGACTCTCCTTTGGCACCACCGCCTTGGTCACCCCTCCCTGCCTCGTCTTCGAGGTATGGCCTCCCGTGCTCTTGTCTCTGGACTCCCCAGGTCCCTCCCTCCCCTTCCTCCGGGGCCTGCCCCCACCTGTGTTCCTTGTGTCGAGGGCCGGCAGCGCGCCGCTCCTCACTTCTCCTCGTTCCCTCCGATTGAGGCCCCTCTGCAGACTCTTCACATGGACGTGTGGGGCCCCGCCCGCGTCGGTGGACAGGGTCACGAGCGCTACTTCCTACTGGTCATTGACGACTACTCGCGTTACACCACAGTCTTCCCCTTGCGCAGCAAGGGTGAGGTCCCTGAGGTGTTGATCGACTGGATCCGTGGTGCTCGTCGCCAGCTCAGTGAGAGTTTCGGCTCAGACCTTCCTGTTCTGCGTCTGCACTCAGACAGAGGCGGGGAGTTTTCCTCCGACCTCCTGAGAGCCTTCTGTCGTTCGGAGGGCATCCGCCAGACGTTCACGCTTCCGGCCTCCCCGCAGCAAAATGGGATTGCTGAGCGCCGCATTGGCATGGTCATGGACGTCGCTTGTACGTCCATGATCCATGCGGCTGCTCCCCATTTTCTGTGGCCGTTCGCGGTTCGGTACGCTGCGCATCAGATCAACCTTCAGCCTCGAGGTTTCTCCTTGCCGGAGACCACACCTACTCTGCGGTGGACGGGGAAGGTTGGCGATGCGTCCGCGTTCCGTGTCTGGGGATCTCGAGCTTTTGTCCGCGACACTACAGCGGACAAGCTGTCCTCCCGTGCCATTCCCTGTGTCTTCCTTGGCTTCCCTCCTGACGCACCCGGGTGGCAGTTCTACCACCCCACCTCGCGTCGTGTTCTGTCCTCTCAGGACGTCACGTTTGACGAGTCGGTGTTGTACTACCGTCTCTTTCCCTACCGCACTGCCTCTCCCCCCCCCCCCGCCGCTCTTCCTGGCACCAAGCAACTCCCCTGGTAGACCCCCTCCCCCCCTAGGGGCCTGCCCCCTCAGGTGTGTCCCAGGTAGACCCTGCCGAGCCGGTCGAGGTAGCTGTCGACTCAGGTGCTGAGCCTGGGGGTGCTGAGCCTGCGGGTGCGGGGACTGGGAGTGCTGAGTCTGGGGGTGCTGAGTCTGGGCGTGCTGTGCCTGGGGGTGCTGAGCCTGGGCGTGTGGAGCCTGAGGGTACTGCGTCTGGAGGTACTGAGCCTGCGCGTGCTGCGTCTGGAGGTGCTCTAGGTGTCCCGCCGCGGCGAGAGCCTCTCTCTCCACAGCAGCTTCGTGAGTGGTACTCTCGGCGCTGTCAGGGTACTGCTGGGGCTTCTGGAGGTGCTGCTGGTGCTGGTGCTGCTGGAGGTGCTGCTGGTGCTGGAGGTGCTGCTGGAGGTGCTGCTGGTGCTGGAGGTGCTGCTGGAGCTTCTGGAGGTGCTGCTGGTGCTGGTGCTGCTGGAGGTGCTGCTGGTACTGGAGGTGCTGCTGGTGCTGGTGCTGCTGGAGGTGCTGCTGGTGCTGGAGCTGCTGCTGGTGCTGGAGCTGCTGGAGGTGCTGCTGGTGCTGGAGCTGCTGGAGGTGGTGCTTGTGCTGGAGCTCCTGGAGGTGGTGCTGGTGCTGGAGCTGCTGGAGGTGCTGCTGGTGCTGGAGCTGCTGGAGGTGCTGCTGGGACTGGAGACCCTGGGGCTGAGGGTACCGGTTCTGTCTCTGCTGTTTCTGGAGGCGATGTGCGGCCGCGGCCGTACTACGTTCCGCTTCTTCAGCAGGTTCTTGGCTCCCCGCCTTCTCCTGGTCCTCCTCCTCCTTCCGTGAGTTCACCGCCTGTCCCGTCTCAGTCGCAGTTACAGCCGGCCTCTCCACTGCCTGGTCCTTCTCCTTACTCTGGACCGACTAGAGGTCTTACGGAGCGTCGTGAGCCTGAGTCGCGTCCTGTGTCGACTGTGTCTCGTTCTACGTCGCCTGTCCGTTCTGTTCGCGCTGGTCGTGTTTTGCGTCCGCGTCCTCCTCCTGTCCCTGGCACTCACTCTATGACTCTGCGTCCCTCCACTGCTCCACAGCGTGTCCCTCTGCCCTCTCCTCTTGTGTCCTCTCTTCTTGCCGGTCCGGACCCTGCGTCTGACTCCCTCCGTGCTGCTCGTCCAGCTGTCATGCGTTTTCTGGCCACTGCTGTCACTGACCCTTTGTTTGAGTCCACTGCTGCATCTGCTCTCGTTGCTGAGCTTGTTGAATTTGTTGCTGCCTGTCGCCTAGACTTTGCCACTAGTCTTGTTGCTGAGTCTGCGTCTGCGTCTGTCTGTCCTCCGTCCGTCGGGGGTGAGTGTGCTCTTGGCACGGACGTTCTTGAGGACAGACAGGAGGAGTTTGAGTGCTTTGCTGCTTCTGTACCTCATCTCGTGTCCATGCTGCTTGCCCCTGAGGGAGACCCGGATGCACCAGACATCCCGACCCCGCGCTCTTACGCAGAGGCGATAGAGGGTCCCTACTCCTCTTAGTGGCAGGCAGCCATGGACGCCGAGATGGCTTCCTGGAAGTCCACAGGCACCTACGTCGACGAGGTTCCCCCACCTGGGGCGAACATCGTCAGTGGCATGTGGATCTTCAGGGTGAAGCGGCCGCCGGGTTCTCCGCCTGTCTTCAAGGCGCGTTACGTTGCACGTGGCTTCAGTCAGCGACAGGGAGTTGACTTCTTCCAGACCTTCTCCCCTACCCCGAAGATGACCACTCTTCGGGTACTGCTGCACGTAGCTGCTCAGCGTGACTACGAGCTCCACTCGCTTGACTTCAGCACAGCCTTCCTATAGGGCAGCCTGCACGAGGAGATCTGGATGCGCCGTCCACCTGGCTTCACTGGGTCGTTTCCAGCTGGTACCCAGTGGAGCCTCCGCCGGCCAGTCTACGGTCTCCGCCAGGCACCTCGTGAGTGGCACGACACACTCAGGACGACTCTTGCTGCTCTTGGTTTTGCTCCTTCCACTTCTGACCCTTCTCTGTTCTTACGCACTGACACTACTCTGCCGCCGTTCTACGTTCTCGTGTACGTAGACGACCTCGTCTTTGCTACTTCTGACACTAAGGCACTCGCCCACGTAAAGTCCGAGCTGCAGAAGAGACACACGTGCACAGACTTGGGTGAGCTGAAAAGCTATCTTGGCTTGCGGATCACCCGGGACAGAGCACAGCGCACCATTACCTTGACTCAGTCACACATGGTGCAGCAGGTCCTTCAGCGCTTCGGATTCACGTACTCCTCGCCACAGTCCACTCCTCTGCCTACCGGTCACTCGCTCTTAGCTCCACCTTCGGACGAGTCCGTAGAGTCGAGTGGCCCGTATCCAGAGCTTGTGGGCTGCCTCATGTACCTGATGACTTGCACACGACCTGACCTCGCATACCCTCTCAGCCTTCTGGCTCGCTACGTGGCTCCCGGCAGGCACCGAATGTTAGAATAGTAGATTAAGTGAACACTAGGGTTTGGGGTAGGAGGAGACTTGAGAGAGACATATGTCGAGAGAGTTTAGCCAAAGAGGAAGAATTCACTATTGAGCGAGGTACAAGTAGTAAACAAAGCATGCAAAGAAGGTGCACCACCAACAGTTTATAATAACTACACTAACTACAGCTACAGGCAGTTACAGATATATTCTAACACTCCCCCATAACTGCCTGCAGCAGGAGTTTGTGCAGCAACACATCCTGCATGGGTACACCACGAACAGAGAAAATAGCATCAGCAGGCAAGACCAGTGGCAACCGGTGCAGTGGTGGCAGATTCAGCTACACCAACCCCTCAGCCAAGGTAGAAGCAACAGACAAAGGTGCATGTGGCGGCAGGTCGCCTGGAAAGCGTGTGCGTGCGGCGGCACCGTGCGGCGGCACAGCAGGGCTCAACGGCAGCACCTGCCGCTCAACAGCAGAAGACAGCAGAAGAAACAGCAGGTGGAGGCAGGGGCGGCAGCAGGAGGTGCCACGGTAGCAGCGGGCGGCAGCTGCAGATGCCTAGCTGACTTCCGCTACCGTCTCACCCTCCCCCCCACGGCAGCACACGCGGCAGTGAGAGAGAGAGGAGGAGGGGCGGCTGCTGGCTTGGCAGAATCTCTCTCTCCACTCCCTCACAATCTCCCCCATTCCCCTCACCCTCCCCCCGCAACCTCTTCCCCCCCTCACGGCGGGCCCCGCTGAAGGGAGGGGAAGGACGGGCTGCAGGCAACTCACACCCGCCACCCCCACATCCCCCCCCCCCCCACGGCGGAAGCTGCGGAAGGGAAGAGTGGGGCGCCGTTAGCTGCTGCTGGCGCTGGCGTCGTCGCTGGCGCTCGCGCAGGTGCTGGCGACGGGCGCTGGTGCTGGCGCACACGACCGTGCGCGGGTGCACACGGTCGTACGAAGCTGCGCGCAGCAATGCGCGGCCGTACGCAGCTGCGCGCGGCTGCTGCTGTGTTCGTGACAGAACGGGGCGGGGCAGGCGATGCGCGCGACGAGCAGGGCGCAACGGGCGCGACGGGGAGACGAAACGAGACCGCATCTGACGCCGTCGCGCAGCTAGCTTTGAGACCGTTTTGACGGTCGCGACCGTTGCAACCGTCGTAACTACGGCCGCGACGGGGGGCGTGACGAGCGCCATGAGCGGGGGGATACGTGGTGGGCCCATGGGGGAAAAAAAATAGGTCTTAGGACGACCTAGCTCTTAATACCATGTTAGAATAGTAGATTAAGTGAACACTAGGGTTTGGGGTAGGAGGAGACTTGAGAGAGACATATGTCGAGAGAGTTTAGCCAAAGAGGAAGAATTCAGTATTGAGCGAGGTACAAGTAGTAAACAAAGCATGCAAAGAAGGTGCACCACCAACAGTTTATAATAACTACACTAACTACAGCTACAGGCAGTTACAGATATATTCTAACACCGAAAGGTGCACTGGGATGCTGCGAAGAGGGTGTTGCGATACTTGTGCAGTACATCGGGCATGGGGCTCGTGCTTGGAGGACGGGCTCGAGTTGTCCTCACTGGTCACGCTGACGCCTCCTGGGTTGACGACTTGGCTACGCAGCGGTCGTCACAGGGTTACACCTTCAGTCTTGGCTCAGGTTCTGTCTCTTGGCGGTCTACCCATTCTTCTTCTGTTCTCAGCTCGAGTTGTGAGGCTGAGATCTACGCTGGGGCCATGGCTGCACAGGAGCTACGCTGGCTCACCTACCTGCTGACCGACTTGGGAGAGGCGCCTCATTCTCCTCCAGTTCTGTACGTCGACAACAAGGCCATGCTGGCCTTGTGTCAGGAGCACAGATTGGAGCACAGATTGGAGCACAGAACGAAGCACATTGCTCTGCGCTACTTCCTTGCTCGAGAGTTACAGCAGCGTGGCCAGCTTCGTCTTGCTTACGTGGCCTCTCAGGCCAACACTGCTGATGTTTTCACCAAGGCACTTCAGCCTTGTGATCATCAGCGTTTCTGTACTGTGTTAGGCCTTGTACCTTCTGTGCCTCACTTGCTGACTTCTTGACTCTGCTTGTACTGTACTCTATATACCTATACCTGCATGCTTACTCTTGCTAGGTTGTGTTCACTGTATTGTTTGCTTTCCTTTATATAACTCTGCATGTGAACTGGCCTTGTGGCCCTTTGCTTGTGCTCAGACTGCGTGGTGACTTTGTGATCCACCCTGAGCTTGCTTTACCTTCTTGACTGGTCTTGTGACCCCTTGTTCTCCCCCACTTTGCCTATGGGGGTGTGTCAAACTTATATATGCTATAGTCTGTTTAGGCTATAGTGGGGTAGTCCTTAGAGGGTACAACATTTTTGTGTTTTCTACTTGTACCCCACTAGTTTCCTAGTTCACTCATTCCTCTCATTATTCTCACAGAACCGTCGAGGCTCATCGGTGTTGCGTTGTTGTTGTTGCTGTTGTTTGACTGTGCAGGTGCCCCTTGCTGGTGTTGTTCGTAGAAGGACATGAAGGAGAAGAACTTCTCCATCATGTCTGGGTCGAAGGCTGCGGCTTGATTTGCGGGAGTTTCTGAAGACGTTGCTCTAGGTCTTGTTGCCGTACCCTCCTCTGTCTGTAGGCCAGAGGCAGGAGGTGGAGTAGGGGTAGTACCGGGAGACCCGTTAGAGGAGCTTCTCTCCTTCTGTGTTGCCATATCTTGTGATATTGTGGGTGTCTTGGTTGTAGTTAAATTTGTCCTGACCGCTCTCATACCATGTTGGGCTGAGAAAAAGCCCTTAGGATCTTTGCAGGACAGAATTCAAGGGTAGTACAATGTAATAGCGGAAGCGTTTAATAAATGGCTTGTGAACCACCTTGCGCTGGTATGTGAGGGCAAAGTTGATTGATTAAAACAAAGAGATACAAGCTTTTATAAGGATACAAGGAATATGAAGAGATACGGTTAATAACCGTTTTACTGTTGCTGTTGCGGTTCGATACAGTGTCGACTCGGGCAACTGCTCAGTAGCGAGTCAGTTGTTTGTCCTTGCTGTCGCGCTGTATTTGTCAGGTCAAAGGTCGCTGACCTTTGACTTGCGCGTAACCTCCAGCAGTTGTTTAACCTCCGAGGGTTGACTCGCTGATGCTTCGATATGTTTCGCTTCGCTTCTGACTTGGTATTTCGACATGACAGTTGCGCTTAAATCAATTGTTTCCAACAGTTGTCACTGTTGTTTGATTGCGCAGGAGCCGCTTGCTGATGTTGCTCGTAGAAGGACATGAAGGAGAAGAACTTCTCCATCATGTTTGGGTCAAAGCTTGCTGCTTGATTCCCGGGAGTTTCGGTCGTCTCCGCAGCTGGTCTTGTTGCTGTGCCTTCCTCTGTCTGTAGACCAGAGGCTAGAGGTGGAGTAGGTGTAGTGCCGAGATATCCGTTGGAGGAGCTCCTCTCCTTCTGTGTTGCCATGTCTTGTGTTGTAGAAATTTTGGAAATCGATCTTGCCTTGTTTGCTCTCATACCATGTTGGGCTGAGAAATAGCCCTTAGGATCTTTCAAGGCTAAGATCTAGTTGAAGTAGGAATGTTGTAGTTTGCGGAAGCGTTAATATCATAGTTGCTGAACCACCTTGTACTGGTGTGTGAAAACAAGATAAGTTGATAATAGCAGAGAGACACAGGCCTTTTACCGTATCACCCCGGATAGTAGCGCATATGCGCTTATAATAAAATTGATTTTTTCAAGGGGGGCGCTTATAATTGAGTTTCGGGCATAAGCGCATGCGCTTATATAATGACAAATACAAATTTATAATTTTAGGGTACCAAACTGTACCTTTCATTGATGCCATTTCAAACGAGTCGAAATAATATAGCGTCACAAAGCAGAATCGCGTGCAAGCGATTCTGCTTCCTGCACACCAGCAAGTTCACCTCACTTTGCAGGCATGCTAGCACATCCTGATTGGACGCGCAGCCAGTCAGGTCTTCGCGAGTCAAACGAAGCGAAGATGAAATTTGGCTCGCTGCGAAAATGAAACTCGTTACCGTTTTAAACAGATTTATAATTTCAAAATGTACGTGCGCTTATAATAAGTAAATGTTTTCCAGGGGGGGCGCTTATAATTGAGTTTCGGCCATAAGTGCCATGCTCCTGATAGAAGCGCCGGCGCCATTAATCGGACGGCGCCTATATCCGGGGCCATACGGTATATGATTACAAGGGAATATGAAAAGTTATACTTTTAACTGTTTTTGCTGTTGCGGTTCGATACAGTGTCGACTCGGATAACTGCTCAGTATCGAGTCAGTTATGTGTCCTTGCTGTCGCACTGTACTTTTCGTCGATCAAAAGTCAGCGACCTTTGACCTTCGCGTTGTCAGACTTAAATCTGCTATGGTCTATTTAGGCTGTAGTGGGGTAGCTCTTAGTGGGTACAACACTTATGTGTTTTCTATATGTACCCATCTCATTTCTAGTTCATTCATTCTTTCGTCAAATCCTTCTCACATGGTATAGAGCTAGTTTCGAGAATTTTTAAAAAGGGCCCACCACTGAAATTCGTCACTGCCTACTCGACGCGCGCTTCGCATTTTCCCTTCGAGGCCCGTCACGGCCCCTGCGCCCGTCCTTCGGGCCTACGCCCGCCCCGTAAGGCCCCTTAAGGCCTCGTTAGGCCCCGTAAGGCCCCTTTCGGCCCCGTTTAGGGCGCGGATTTAGGCCCCGTAAGGCCCCGTTATGCCCCGTAAGGCCCTGTAAGGCCCCGTCAGGCCCGTTCGGCCCCGTTTACGACCCTGTTAGGCCCCGACAGGCCCCGTTAGAGGCCCCGTACGGCCCCGTCAGGCCTCATTCGGCCCCGTCAGGCCTCATTTGGCCCCGTTTAGGGCGCGGATTACGGCCCCGTAAGGCCCCGTTAGCCCCGTAAGGTCCCGTAAGGCCCCGTCAGGCCCCGTTCGGCCCCGTTTTAGGCCCCGTTAGGCCCCGACAGGCACCGTTAGAGGCCCCGTACGGCCCCGTCAGGCCCCATTTGGCCCCGTTTAAGGCCCCGTAAGGCCCGTCAGGCCCCGTTATAGGCCCCGCAAGGCCCCGTTCTCGGCCCCGTACGGCCCCGTTATAGGCCCCGTCAGGCCCCGTTATAGGCCCCGTACGGCCCCGTTATAGGCCCCGTCAGGCCCCGTTATTGGCCCCGCACGGCCCCGTTATAGGCCCCGTACGGCCCCGTTCTACGCCTCGTCAGGCCCCGTTATAGGCCTCATTCGGCCCTGCTCCTGACCTGACCCTGAACTGCCGCGGCCCTGGCCCGGCTCTGCTTCGGCCCTGCCCCGGCCCTGCCCCTGAACTACCCCGGCCCTGCTTCTGCACTGCCCCGGCCCTGCTCCTGAACTGCCCCGGCTCTGCCCCGGCCCTGCCCCGGCCCTGCCCCGGCCCTGCCCCTGAACTGCCCCGGCCCTGCCCCGGCCCTGCTCCTGAACTGCCCCGGCCCTGGCCCGGCTCTGCCCTGGCCCTGCCCCGGCCCTGCTCCTGAACTGCCCCGGCCCTGCCCCGGCCCTGCTCCTGAACTGCCCCGGCTCTGCCCCGGCCCTGCCCCGGCCCTGCCCCTGAACTGCCCCGGCCCTGGTCCTGCTCTGCCCTGGCCCTGCCCCGGCCCTGCTCCTGAACTGCCCCGGCCCTGCCCCGGCCCTGCTCCTGAACTGCCCCGGCCCTGCCCCGGCCCTGCTCCTGAACTGCCCCGGCTCTGCCCCGGCCCTGCCCCGGCCCTGCCCCTGAACTGCCCCGGCCCTGGTCCTGCTCTGCCCTGGCCCTGCCCCGGCCCTGCTCCTGAACTGCCCCGGCCCTGCCCCGGCCCTGCTCCTGAACTGCCCCGGCCCTGCCCCGGCCCTGCTCCTGAACTGCCCCGGCCCTACCCCGGCCCTGCCCCAGCCTCTCCCCTGGTAAGAGCGCCGCGCTGCCAAGCCACACCGCCCTGCAGAGCTGCGCCGCCCTACCTAGCCTGCTTAGCCGAGTTCCACTGCTGCTACTGCTAGCCTGCTGCTTATCCTGTCATGGCTAGTCTCAATGTTCTTACCTTTGATGCTGAGGGTCGGGCTGTTGACTTTGAGGTCTGGCTAGATGATCTGCAGCTTTTCCTACAGTGCGATAGCAAGGATGGTCTCTCCCTGTATGATCTCACTTCTGGCGCCTCTCCTGCCCCTACTGCTGATGCTGACAGTACTGTTCGCTCGCAGTGGCTCACGCGCGATGCTGCTGCTCGTCTTGCTGTGCGCAACCACCTGCCGTCTACTGAGCGCGCGCACTTTAGTCAGTACAAGAGTGCTAGGGCTCTGTACGACGCTGTAGTTGCACGCTACTCCTCCCCTGCCACTGCTGCCCTCAGCCGCCTCATGCTACCGTACCTTTTCCCTGACCTTGCTGCCTTTGCCACTGTCGCTGACCTAGTTTCTCACCTTCGCACTAGTGACGCCCGCTACCGCGCTGCCCTTCCCACTGAGTTCTGTGCCAAGAACCCCCCTCCCATGTACATCACCCTTTACTACCTAGTCACCCGCCTCCCTGACTCTCTTTCTTCAGTCAGGGACCAATTTCTCTCCCTTTGCCCCACCGAGCTGACCGTCGACTTGCTAGAGGAGCGCCTTGCTGCAGCTGAGAAGAGTATCTTAGCTGTTGGTGCTTCTCGCGGTGACCGTCGCACCCCCTTCTTTGAGGGGTGTTCCCCTGTCCCCCTTCTCCCCTCTGTTGCCTCTGCTGCTGCTGTCGACCTCGTTGGCACTGAGGAGGTCGGCGCTGCGTCTGCCCCTAGTGGGCGACGCCGCACTGGCAAGGGCAAGGGAAGCAGGGGTGGTGGTGGGGGCGGTGGAAGCAGTGGTGGAGGAGGTGGAGGAGGTGGAGGTGGTGGTGGGGGTGGTTCCGGGAGTGGGGGCGTAGGTGGCGGCAGTGGCGGCCGTGGCGGCGGTGGTGGAGGAGGTGGCGGCGGCGGCGGCGGTGGTGGAGGTAGCGGAGGAGGTGGTGCTGGTCGCGGTGCGGCCACGCTGCGTGGAGGCCTTGGTGGCAGCCAGCGTCCGCAGCAGCTGCGCACCCGTGAGACCCCGTCTGTTCAGCAGCTTCGTGAGTGGTACGCTGGCCGTGGGAGGTCTGGGGGTGCAGGTCCCTGCGCGTACGTTCTTCGCACCGGCACTCGTACTGGGGAGGTGTGTGGTCTCCCACACACCACGCAGTGCTGCTTTGGCCGCTTGACTGACGCTTGGCGTACCCAGTTTCCTGACGCTGTTGATCTTCCTCGTTGGCATGATCTGCTTCTGCAGAATGTGCCTATCTTTGATCTAGATTTTGATGCTATCCTTGCTGCCATGTATGCTCTTGCTGATATTACTGAGGGTGACTGTTACCTGCGTGTCCCGCCCGACCCGGGCACTGTGGCTGCTGCTCTAGATGCTAGTGCGGCTGCTGCTCTAGGTGCTAGTGCGTCTGCTGCTCCAGGTGCTGGTACGTCTCCTCCCTCTGGTACTGCACCTACTGAGTCCTTTCACACCTTCACACTTGACTCTGGTGCTTCGCGCTCTTTCTTTAGAGACAGCACCACGCTCACGCCGCTCCGTCGGCCTGTTGCAGTCTCCCTTGCTGACCACTCCGGGGGACCAGTCCTTGCACACTCCTCCACGGTTCTACCGTGGCCTGCGGCCCCGTCGGGCTTGCTGACGGGACTCCACCTCCCCTCGTTCTCTACGAACTTGGTGAGCGGAGCTGACCTCCAGGACGCGTGGGTTGACCAGTTCACCCCTGGAGGTCAGCGTGTGACCCACTGCACTTGCTCTCGGACGGGCCGCCACCTGGCCACGTTCACCCGTCGGCCATGGTCGAGTCTGTACACACTGACTACTGCGCCTCCTCCGGTCCCTGCGTCTGGTCAGGTAGCTGCGTCCAGTCAGGTGTTTGCTGCTGCGTCCAGGTCTAGTCCTGCGTCTGCCCCCTGCTCGTGTCGTCCTCTGGCGCACGAGACTCTCCTCTGGCACCACCGCCTTGGTCACCCCTCCCTGCCTCGTCTTCGAGGTATGGCCTCCCGTGCTCTTGTCTCTAGCCTCCCCAGGTCCCTCCCTCCCCTTCCTCCGGGGCCTGCCCCCACCTGTGTTCCTTGTGTCGAGGGCCGGCAGCGCGCCGCTCCTCACTCCTCCTCGTTTCCTCCGACTGAGGCCCCTCTGCAGACTCTTCACATGGACGTGTGGGGCCCAGCCCGCGTTCGTGGACAGGGTCACGAGCGTTACTTCCTGCTGGTCGTTGACGACTACTCGCGTTACCTTCCCCGTCCAACGCAGTGTAGGCGAGGTCTCCGGCAAGGAGACACGGGGCCAGAGGTTGAGCTGATGCGCAGTGTACCGGACCGCAAACGACCACAAAAAATGGGGAGTAGCCGCATGAATCATGGAGGTACGAGCGACCTCCATGACTAAGCCAATGCGGCGCTCAGCAATCCCATTTTGCTGCAGGGAGGCCGGAAGCGTGAACGACTGGAGAATGCCCTCCCCACGAAAAAAGTCCCGCGAGAGGTCAGAGGAGAACTCACCACCTCTGTCAGAGTGCAGACGCAGGACAGGAAGGTCCTGGCGGAACCGCTCGTGGAGCTGGAGAAGGACTGCGCGGATCCAAGGGATCAAGACATCAGGGACCTCACCCTTGATGCGCAAGGGGAAGACCGTGGTGTAATGCGTGTAGTCGTCAACGACCAGCAGAAAGTAGTGCTCGCGGCTTTGTCCACTGACGCGAGCTGGGCCCCACACGTCCATGTGGAGAGTCTGCAGGGGAGCAGTCGTCGGGGGAAACGAGGAGGAGTGAGGAGCGGCGCGCTGCCGCCCCTCGACACAAGGAAGTCAGGGCGGGGCAGGCGAGGGCGTGAGGGGAGGCAGAGACTTGGGAAGACCAGAGACAAAGAGGCGGGAGTGCATGCCACGAAGGCGTGGCAGGGAGGGGTGACCAAGTCGGTGGTGCCACAGGAGAGTCTGGTGCGACAGGAGGTGACACGGGCAGGGGGGTGCTACCGGACCTGACGCGGACACCTACACAGATGCAGCTACCTGAGGAGGCTCGGTAGCCAGGGTGTAGAGACTCGACCCAGGTCGACGGGTGAACGTGGCCAGGTGATGGCCCGTCTGTGTACACGTGCAGATCGACACACGCTCACCCCCAGGAATGGTGGTGGTGACCAGCGCATCCTGGAGGGCAGCGGTACTCACCAAGTTCGTAGAGAACGAGGGGAGGTGAAGACCTGACAGTGAGCCGGACGGGACCCCCGGACACGGGAGAACAGTGGAGGAACGGGCAAGGACTGGGCCCCCTGAGGGGTCAGCCAGTCTGACCGGTACAGGTGCAGAGAGAGGAGTGAGGGTGGTGCTGTTGCGAAAGAAACAGCGAGAAGCACCTGAGTCAAGCGTAAATGTGTGCAAGGCCTCAGAAGGCGCAGTACCAGGGAGAGCAGACTCACTAGCACCTAGAGCAGCAGCCTCTATACCTGGGTCAGGCGGCACACACAGGTAATAGTCACCCTCAGCACTAACAGACAAGGTATACATAGCAGCAAGGATAGCATCATAGTCAAGATCAAAGATAGCAACTCCAGACCTAAACAGCTCTTCCCAGCGGGGGTGCTTGGCCTCGTCACCAAACTCTGCGCGCCAAGCGTCGTCTAGGCGGGAGAAGCAGCGGTGCTGAGTGTGAGGCTCCCCGCATGTCTGACCAACATGGTCACCCGTGCGAATGACATACGGGCAGCTAACACTACCCCCAGACGCCCCACGCTAAGAAAACCACTCATGAAGCTGCTGGGGCGAAGGGGTCTCGCTCCAACGCTGCTGCTGCTGCCGCTGGCCACCGCCAGAACCTCCCCTCTGAACAACTCCACCTCGACTGCCACCACTCCCACTGCCGCCACTACCGCCACTCCCACCGCTGCCACCACCGGCGCCACCAAAGCCCCCACTCCCGCCACCACTCCCACTGCTGCCACCACCTCCACTACCTCCACCACCTCCACTGCCACCCCCACTACCACCCCCGCTGCCACCTCCACCACTCCTGCCCTTGCTGCTGCGGCGCTTCCCACTAGCAGAAGCAGCCCCGACATCCTCAGCACCAAGGACGTCAACAGCAGCATCAGAGGCGTAGGAGGGGGCAAGGGGGGAGGGGGAACACCCCTCAAAGAAGGGCGTGTGAGGAGTGCCACGAGCGGCACCTACAGCGACTACACTAGTCTCAGCAGCAAGGAGGTGCTGCTCGAGCAGGTCGACAGTGAGGTCTGTGGGGTCAAGTGCGAGAAAGTGGTCCCTGACAGCGCAAAGAGTGTCAGGGAGGCGGGTGACTATGAAGTAGAGAGTGATGTACATCGGGGGCAGGTTCCTGTCAAGGAACTCCGCTGGGAGGGAAGAGCGGTAGCGAGCGTCACTAGTGCGAAGGTGGGTAATGAGGTCCTCTACTGTGGCAAAGGCGGACAGCTCGGGAAATAGGTAGGGCAGTATAAGACGGCCTAGAGCAGCAGTGGCAGGGGAGGAGTAACGGGCGACTACAGCGTCGTACAGTGCTTTAGCAGTCTTGTGGTGTCCGAAGTGAGCGCATTCGGCTAACGGTAGGTGGTTGCGAATGGCTAAGCGAGCAGCAGCGTCACGGGTAAGCCACTGTGAGCGAGTCGCACTGTCAGCTGTGGCGGGAGGGGCGAGAGAGGCTCCAGACGTGTGGTCAAACAACGAAACGCTGTCTATAGAGTTGCTCAGTAGGTATAGCTGTAAGTCGTCGAGCCACCTGTCGAACTGGATCGGATGGCCCTCATGATCGAACGTGAGGACACGGAGAGAAGACATAGCAGAGCAGCACGCAGGCAGGGCAGCGCAAGGAACAGGGCTTGCGGCAGCCAGGCAGTGCACGGGCTGCAGAGGAGGCGGCAAGCGGGCCGCAAGGGGCGACGAGCAGGCTGCAAGTGGCGGCGCGCAGGTTGCAAAGGGCGGCAGGTGGGCCGCAGGTGGGCGGCAAGCTGGCCGCAGGCAGGCAGCGAGCGGGCTGCAGGTGCGGCGGGCGGGCCGCAAGTGGGCGGCGCACAGGCTGCAGGGGCGGCGGGCGGGCCGCAAGCGGGCGGCGCGCGGGGAGCAGGGGCGGCGGGCGGGCTGGAAGTGGGCGGCGCGCTGGCTGTAGGGGCGGCGGGCGGGCCGCAAGCGGGCGGCGCGCGGGCTGCAGGGGCGGAAGGCGGGCCGCAAGCGGGCGGCGCGCGGGCTGCAGGGGCGGCGGGCGGGCCGCAAGTGGGCGGCGCGCGGGCTGCAGGGGCGGCGGGCAGGCCGCAAGCGGGCGGCGCACGGGCTGCAGGGGCAGCGCGCTGACTGCAGGGGCAACTCGTGGGCTGCTAGGGGCGGCTCGACAAGCTGCTAGGGGCGGTGCCGCGGCCAGCAGGGCGGCGCGTCAGTAGTAAGGGCGACAGGGCAGGCAGTGGGGCAGCTCTGTGGTGGGCCCAAAAAAAATTTTCGGTCATAGGGAAGGACCTGCTCTGAAACCATGTCAGAATAACGAACGAGGATGAATGCATTGAATAGAAGTTGGGTACAAGTACTAACCCTAATTGGGTTGTACGTCTTATGGGCTACCCCACTATAGCCTACACAAAGTAAGCTATATAACATTTTGACAACGATCCTGGCAGGTTTGTAGGTATTGACTGAGTAAGACCTGAAAGTGTCCGATGAATTTTACTGGCTATCAAAGTTGCGAAAGAATGACACGCTGCCAACAATGTTGGTGAGTGTCAAAAAGCAAATTGACACTAGCGATTTTGACATGTCAATACTACGAACGAGCCCTTAGGAAAGGTGCGAGCCATCCAGTTCCACGCTTCTGTATCAGTACTGTAGCGTTCACGCATCCCGTTATCTGGTCCATACAGATATCATCTCAGCAAGAAAAATAGCCGCAACATCATCGAGGAAACGACAAAGTGTCAGCTCAGAAATCGGACTACGGGGAGGAAACATACTTGATGTGCCAACTGCACATGGCGCTTACACTGTCAGAATAAATGTGCAGGAATAATTGGATTAGCAAGAGTTGGGGTACAAGTACTAACCCTAGAAGTGTTGTACCCCATAAGGAGTGCCCCACAATAGCCTGTGAGAATGATAGACGAAAGAATGATTGAACTAGAAAGCAGAAGGGTACAAGTAGAAAACACAAAAGTGTTGTACCCTCTAAGGACTACCCCACTACAGCCTAAACAGACTATAGTAGATATAAGTTTGACACACCCCCATAGGCAAAGTGGGGGAGAACAAGGGTCACAAGACCAGTCAAGAAAGA